AAAAAAAAAATCCAAAAACTCTGCGAACTTGCTCAAAATTTTCGGTTTCAGGTGCAGAACCTTCGCGATCAACTGCGAGAGACTTCCGTCCGTCTGGGTGATTCGAAGACCGAGAATGAACGACTACGCTATCTCTACAATAGCAGCGAGGTAATCGATAATCGATTCATAATGACCGGCAGGGGTTACTGTATTGTTCGGCAGAAAAACGAGGAAACACGAGGGGAGCATCGGTATTTGGGATATTACTAGTCATAAGCCATAGTCATAGGCCAGTCAGGAATTATAATTGGTCCCTTACTATCGATCTTATGATGGGTTACATGAGCAACTGAAAAGGACAGCACAAAGGCGCCGTATAATGGCAACTCGTATCGATTTGGGCGTGCTTTTCGGGCACAGCATTCCGGAGTCCGGAAAAGGAAGGGCCTTCAGTTGACCACTTGGCCCTAGTTCGCTGTCTGTGCGGCATCTGTTGCTTGGTGCTATTCTCGCCAAGGATCGCCCATGTTCCCTGTACTTGTGAGGTATTTTTTCAATGCGGCTGATCGATAAGGCCCATTAATTGTGCCCCCGTTCCTCATGTTTCGCGAAATGTTACCCGAGGTTTGACCTTTTCTGGTTCGATTTAGGTACTATTTCTTAGATTTCTCGAAAATCTTATGCAGCGCCGTTTCAGTCAAGCTCATTGATGGCCCTCCGCAAATCCCTTGCCGTTGCTGAGCAAGATGTACGCAAAAAGCAAGAAGAAATGGAAGAACTTCGATCACAGCTCGTCAATCAGGACTATGAACAACGGTTTGTCGATTTTTACTGAAGTTTTGGGTTATTCTTCCAGTAGTATTACTGGCCCAAGTCGCCATCTCTTGGCTTTATTGATCGGCAAAGCCATTTTCTTTGAAGTCCCCAATGATTTCCCTTGACACCTCCCACATTCGCAAAAAGTAATTCCATGACAAGCTATTAAAACGAGGAGAGGAATGGTTGAGTCTTCGATGTCGAGCTATCTTTCAGGGAGGCGCCATGTGCTTATTACTATTACAGTTTCGTAGAGTTAATTGGATCAGAGCGGGTTTTCAAAGTTATTAGCGCGAAGCTTGAATTGGAAACCTTTTCATAACTTTGGAATGTAGATAAGTGACCACTGGATTCTTCAGGGAGGGCATGTGGGGATAGTTAGTATCTGGAGTACCAGACAGTTTCCCGGATTGAACGATTGAGAGTAGAAATTACAGGTAATCGCTTCACCATTTCCGGTTCCCCCGACGTGATTTATGAGTTCCGGTACTTCTAAGCTTGCTCTTTTTGATGCCTTTCTGGCCATCAGCTGCACCCATGTCCAAGCTCTTTACATTTTGTTTATTTATCTTTTTGCTTATTTATTTCATCCTGATTGCATGTGAAAACAACAACAAAATATTTACAAATGTTGCAGTTACCTCATTAGATACCAGTTCTGATCGTTTCACATAGATGTAGGAATTAAAACAATTATGAAATAAATCATATGGAATTAGATGACCGTTTATGCTAGCAACTTATCGATTGATTTCAGCATAGCCGCGTTGCAACCGCGTCTCATCACGATGTTGCGAGTACAATTGGCAGCAATTTCGAACATCATCAAATCACAGCTTCTTGATCGGAGCCTGTCTGTCAACGAAGACATTGCGGAATTGAAACAGATGCTTGACGATGTGAATGATGGTGATTTGGAGGAGATTCAGAAAATTCTCGAACATACCACTGTGCTCTATGATCAGGTACGCCCTTGGTTCCTTCAACGCTGCTTTTTTCTTTTGAATGTCTACTTTTACTCAATTTTTCCTACATTTTTTCGATCATTTTTGATAATCCTGATACATTTTTTTCTTTTTTCGTCTCTGTCCTGTTGTTCTTTTTTTTCGGTTTAATTTTTTGCGAAACTTTCAAATTTCCGAAAAAACAAATTAGCTTATTTCGTGCCTTTTTGGAGAGAAATTCAATGGGAAACCCTAAAAAATCAGCAGATATAAAAATTAATAAGTAAGGGCATTTCACAACAAGCCAACTGTGAAAAAGGCGGTCCTTTTGTCTAATTTTTGTCATTTTTTTTTAAATATGAAGCATATTTCCCTCTCTTAAACTTTTATTTTTCCTTATGTCAGCCTTCCTAGTCATTTCTGTAATTACAGATCTCACGTAGTATTGTAACACCGTCACAGTCTGATTCGTGGACGATGACCGAACCACTGGAAGGTGAATCGGACTATTATGATGATGAAGAGGAATTGGATACAAAGCAAGAAAGTGAATGGCAAGCTGAAATGACTGCTATACAGGTTTGTAGGCCATTCAGATTGACTGAATGTGGTTCATTCCGGCGACTAGCTGTTAAACGTTCGAGGAAGAGTGGAAATCTAGTGAAATTTTCT